AGCTACATACCAAGTACCATAACTGACTGGAACCAACTACCCACAGACATAGCCACATGTACATCACTCCCGGATTTCAAAGTAGGGTTGGCCCGATATATGGGCCACCCCATACCTCAGTAAAATATACATCATGCTAAGACGGCCACCACTTTTTCTTTTTCCTTTATTTTTGGCACCTTGTTCAGATACTTAATCTGTCTCTCTTGTTACGAGCACTTCCACCACCAGCCGTACTTAGCCGTGCACCAAGATCTCCCCTGGACGTTATACCCGAGAGGGTGTTGTTCCAGTAGTAATAAGATAAAGATATATATGAATCATATCAATTTAGCCATCGGGGATGTCTCCTGGTATTACAGTAACTACTCTTGTATGAGATTCTGAAAAGGTCATCAGGCCAATTATTCTGTTACATTGTTACTGTTAACTGGAGCTTGGTGTTGCTGGTTTAGGGCTTCTTGTTTAAGATTTGGAGCTGATTCTAGACAAGAGTCGGCGTGATGATCTTTGCCCCGTGTTTGAATCATATCAATATCGCCATCGGGCATGTTAACTGTAATCATGTTGTCTACTAATCTTGCATAAGCTTCTGAAAGGTCATCACTCCAATAGTAAATTGTTCTGTTACATTCACCGAAAAAGTTACCAAACATTTTACATTTTTTTATTCCAACATGTAATCACATGACGTGGTGACGGCACTTAAGTTTTTATTCAACTTATATTAATGCCACGGGACAGTACAATGCTCATTTTCACCTGAGCGAAGAGAGGAAAGTCGTGTAAAGTGCCTTTCCCAAGGGCACAAGATCGGTGGCATGCCAGGACTCGAACCCGGGACCTCTTGGTTCCGAGTCGAGCACTCTACTGCTACACCACACGACCTCACTTTTGTTTGCATGGAAAAGAATATTTTGACCTTTTGTGGTATAGGTTTAACATATGTGCAAGTGTGTCGTCAGGAATGACATACCGAGAACCAGAGTCTTGATTGTGTACCTTACAGCAGACCAGTGACAGATCCTACGTCTGGAACAGACATGCGCAACATGGGGTGGGCCTTGCTCCTCCTCCTAGCGGCTCTCATCTCCACTGCAGCTGGAGACATCGGCAATGAAAAGGTTATCTCAAGTTCAATTTTAATTAGTAACTCTTATTTTTATTTGAGTACCTATTCTGAAATCTTGGTTAGTGATGATATTAAGTTTAATGAAAATTGTTGCCAGAATACCAATAGCAAGTATTAACTATGGTGGATTGAACCTATATCTACATAGCTTATATCTAAACATGCATATGTGTTTCAGGAACGACTGTTCGACAGGGCAGAGGCTTTAGATGACCTGATAGCTGAAGAGGTGTGTACTTTCGTCTAGTTTAATTACTTTTGGCAGCAAAGTACAAAATGGGTACTCTAAATACTCACAACAAGTATGTTTGATCTGAGATTCCATATTCTACATATTTGTCAATGTTGATATAACATATATCATCCACACTGTCCTTACCCCTGTATAACTCATATTCAGTTAACGATAATGATTTATAGTTATAAGTATGGGATAGCCCTCTAGCCATGCATTGCAGCACAAACAATTGGCAAGAAATGAAGTCGTGTTTAACAGTGGTAAATACTGTATTTAGTAAAACAACTGTTTTTTGGCGTATCGTATTACCTGGATGTCTAACCTTCATCGACGTTACTTGTTTTCGTCCTAGTTGTCCGAGGTCGATGAGCTGAAGGAACAGTCCCGTCGCATCTTTGGCCACGGCGGGTTCCTAGGAACCGGGATCGGAGCTAAAGGCGGCTTGTTTGGCACCGGCATCCTTGCTAGCGGCGGGTCTGGTCAGGCGCCTGCACAAGGTTAGTGAGATTTTACTTAGACTTAGTTCCTCCCGTGCATTGCACATTGGGCAGCAAGCCTGCTCCACTCTGCTCTGTCTTTGGCGAGAGTCTCGGCATCCTTCTGCGATACCCCCCCTGCTTTCCAGATCTTTTTGGAGGGTGCGTCGCCATGTTAGCTTGGGTCTCCCTCTTTTCCGCTTGCCCTCTTGCCCTAGCTAGGGGTAAGGACAGTGAGACTAGATGTTATACAACATTTTACACAGACGTTTTGTCCATTTGGATATGAGACGGTTTAAATATAATGTTGGCCGTTTTTGTATAGCTGTCAAATACTGAACAAGCACTCTAGGCGCCAAACCATTGGCATCCTTATTTACTAGTATGCGTCGGTGCCTACTAGTATGCGTCAGTGCCCATCAAACTGTCAGTCTGTGACAACACCCCCTTTTCCCACTCTCACTCACTCATTATCTCCCTTGCCTGTTAATTGAAATTTTTCCGCTCCAGTTTTCAGATAATTGCGCAATTAAGGGTGGATTTTCCACGCTCACATGTAGATTTTCAAGAATTTGACCATAACTCCTTTTTTAATTTTACTGTAGTCACATTATATTAAAGTTTTTTTCAGGTTTTTCATCAAATTCACATAAGTGTCTCTTTTACATGCAATGTGTGTTACTGGTAATGCCTGGATTGTAAGTTTGCTACCATAAGCTCGACTTTTGCTCCTGGGATAAGATCATTCCAGATAACAGCTCTTCTGTTCTTTTTGTTCCCTGGGTGTCGGCACAGACTATAGAGCTATACAGATAACAAGGTTCAGTGATTCCTTTTAAACAATTAAAATGTTTATGTGCAACTGTGTTCCATTTGCTTCCAAAAGATTCCCAACAACCCTTATCTAAAACGTTACCAATTTCGACGTGCAACTTCACGTCTCTAAAATACCTAAAGTTATTTCTGACGTTAACCCGCGTCACATGGTGCTTTCTGTATTACTCAGGTCGTCAGTTTGCTATCATAAGCTCGGATCTGTATCTGTAGGTGACCCGAGAAGAAGACCTTACCTTAGACCTTAGATCCTCCCGCAACTACTGTTGCATCGGTCGACAAGTAGTTCTGACAGAATTTCTCCAGGGAGTCCAGGTACTTCTGTTTGTACATACTTCCCGAGAAGAAGAAGAAGGTATATTTGTCACGCCCAAAAGAACCCTGAAACGTTTTTTTCCCGAAACATGTAACATCTGTGTCCATAATATCACCAGGGTCCATAATATCGCCACCTTGAGAAATAGTGTGCTTAAAGATATTTTTACTGCAACATACCCTAGGTATGCACATTTGATGTGTAAAGGAGTGCATACCAAAAGTATGTTGCAGTAAAAATATCTTTAAGCACACTATTTCTCAAGGTGGCGATTTTATGGACCCTGGTGATATTATGGACACAGGTGTTAATCGCAAGACGTGGTGACGGCACACTCAAGTTTTTTCAACTTATATTAATGCCGCCATAAACACAGGGACAGTACAATACTCATTTACACATGAGCGAAGTGAGGAAAGTCGTGCAAAGTGCCTTTCCCAAGGGCACAAGATCGGTGGCATGTCAGGACTCGAACCCGGGGCCTCTGGTTCCGAGTCGAGAACGCTGCCGCTACGCCACACGACCCCACCCCACACAAACGTTTTTATTGTCTACGTCTTACAGGAAGTTCATCAGGAGGAAACTTAGCTGGTTCCTACTGCTCCATCAAGACAACGGACACCAACTACCGATACCGATGGGATGTGCCCAGGTTTGTTTTTTTTTTATTCATCAAAACATAAGAAACATAACAAGGACAGTGTGGCGCTGCACTCAAGTTGACAACTTATATTAACAGCGCCACACAACAAAAAGGTACAATTAACATTTAAATATATATGTACAAAGTTGACATATCTGTGCGCCGTAGTCCCACCACCCCAAGACATTAAAATGTTAAATTAAATGCTTACAGAGCTATTTGAAACATACGATTACATGGTAACCTCCTATATCTCATAGGCGGAAAAAACATCCGCCAATCATGAGCTAGGAGGGGAATGTAGGCCCATTAACACTTACGTAGTATTTGGACTTCTATTTGCCCAGGTTTACGGGAACGCGCTTCACTTTTCAAGTATCCGCCAACAACGATGCCCACATCGGCCTGTCACCAGTCGGCCGAGACGTGGAAGACATGTACGAAATCGTCCTCGGTGGATGGGGGAATGGAAAATCGGCCATACGCCGAAAAAGGCAGGGCCCCGATCTCGTCAATGTCGCTACACCAGGTCAGCCTTTTTTTATTTATCTATTTATTGATATGATATGCTATGATATGATATGCATCTTTATTGCATGTTCTTGCCCAGATGGGCTAAATGCACAAGAGGTCATGCAGTATGCAAAACATGAGTATTGCATACTGGGACGCTATATTCTAATGCTAATTGTTAGGAATGTATACATTATAACAATACTACATACTGCCTATTATCTAGTGTTAGTTGCTCTTTCCTCTCTCCTTTTGAAACATTTGGAAACCGAAGGAAAACGTATTGTTTTTACTCAATTTCTTCTTCTTCTTCTGTTCCAAACACTAACCTCTGACCTGGCCAATGGCCTGATTTGTTGATGTCTGTCACCATGGTAACTGCTGGTGTTGGGTTACATAATGTTGCAATTTTATAGTAGCAGGGATTTAGACTCCTGTCACCATATATGTGAAAGTGTTTGAGTAAGAACGTGCCGTATGAACTTTCATGATAGTTTAATGAGGATTGGTTGATGTCAACCTTTTTTGCAGCTATCAACTCGCCAACAGAATACAGGACCTTCTGGATAAACTTGGCCGCAGACGGAACCATTTCTGTCGGAAAGGGGGGTGTCGCTGCACCGTTTATGTCGTGGAGGGATCCCAACCCGATCCGCGTCTCTTATGCAGGGTACTCTACAGGCTGGGGAAGCACTGGGCGCTGGAAGTTCTGCTCAGGTCAGCCTGATGTTATTGTGGACGTTATCTGTATCTGTATCTGTATCTGTATATGTATCTGTATAGCCGGTATAACCGCCCTTCCGTGTAACACACCAGCTACACCGATCGACTTATTACACCTAACCCTTTAACTTCTAACTCTAGACATTGTTTAAAGCTATCTAATGACAATGCCCCTACTGTACTTGGTGATAGTAAGTTCCACTCTGCGATAGTTCTAGGAAAGAATGAATTCTTGAACACCTCAATCCTTGGTTGATAACTCTGGTACTTGAAGGCATGGCTATTTCTTGTTCTCTTCTGGGCTGGTATTAGGTACTTAGTAGTTGGGACGTCCACCAGTTTATTGGTCATATTGTACATCATGCATAGTCTGGACATTTTTCTTCTGTCTTCCAGTGAGACCCACTGTAGGTTTCTTTTCATTTCCGTGACACTAGTTATTACTGTCTGTGTCTTACATTGTTTTCTTTAAAAACTAATGACTTTATATGTTAGTGGGCAAATGTTCTCATAGCCAATATTTTATGACTAGAGATGGTGACGGCACACTCAAGTTATGCTAACTTATTTTATGCCGCCACCAACACAGAGGACGAATACAGTACAGGACAATACTCATTTTTACTTGAGTAAGTGCCTACCTGCCTATGCAGGCCAGGCACTGGCCCCTTGCTCCCCTCTGTCAGGTACTTCCAGCCAGCTCTATCAAGGGCAATAGTCTCTGCTTCCCTTAGGGTACTAAGCCCTGTGTCACTCTGGAATTGGTCTTTCCACCTCTTGGGTGGTCTTCCCCGGGGTCTAGGGTTTTGGAAGTCTTGGTGGTATGCCTTATAAACGAAGGTGTTTGCTGGTCTTCGCACCACATGCCCAAACCATCTAAGCCTTCTAGTGCGGATCCTGTCAGTGAGTAAGTGAGGAAAGTTTATTAATGTTAGTTTGCAGTTTGCTGATTGTTGGACTTAGTTTCCTGACTGACTGATATGATCAGTAGCCATAAATTAAATATTGAAACAGGCAGATATTACAATATAGCCCCTGACCAAAGGTTCTGTCCATTTTGTCCAAAGCATATAGAAAATGAATTTCATTTTGTTATGGAATGTACCAAATATGATGTTATACGTAACAAGCTATTTACATTTCTCAAATCAAGTACCATAGATTTTAAGAGTCTCGATGTTGGAGACAGATTTGAATATATCTTTACATGTAATGGTCCCCACAACGCAAAAATAGGTAGATATATAAAGGAATGCTTTGTTATTAGAAAAAATACCGAAAGTTGTGATTAGCCCACTCGATTGTAATACTTTATCCAAGACTTGTGATATCCCTTATTATTTGAATAATTATGATAAAGATATGTTAGGTTTTATTCGACATTAGGTCTTATTCAACACACTTACTTTATTGTTGTTACTCTCTTTATGTAGTTTGCCATACATTGTACCATGTGCAATTGTCGTGCAATAAAGTTCTATATGTGTCTATCTTGCAGATTCCGCCTGCTCCATCAAAACAACGGACACCACCTACCGATACCGATGGGACGTGCCCAGGTTTGTCTTTTTTATTCATCAAAACATAAGAAACATAACAAGGACAGTGTGGCGCTGCACTCAAGTTGACAACTTATATTAACAGCGCCACACAACAAAAAGGTACAATTAACATTTAA